CGTTGAGGTCGATGGGCGCGGGCGCGGGCGTGAAAGGCGCGACCACGCTCACGTCGGGTGAGCACTCCCCGGAGAGGCGGGAGGCCTGTGGGTAGACGTGGAAGCCGGGGACCGGGTTGCAAGCCGATGCGCGGCGTGAGTCGGGCATCACCATCTGAGGAAACGCTGACGAGCCAGTGCTGGCCGTGGCGACGGCGGCTTGGACGAGGTTGTGCTGGCTAGGGTTCACCCCAAGCACGTAGAGAGCCTCCCTTGTTGCCGCGGCGACGCGGGCGTTGGTGAATTCCTGCTGCGCGGCGGCGGCGGCGGCCTGCGCAGCGGCCTCATCCCTCGTGTCCGCGGCGTGCCTCCGGCCCTTCCTCTTGGTCAACTCCCTTGCCTTCTGTTCGGGCGTCAGTGCCTTCTTCGGCTTGGTCGCCGCGGCTGTCTTGCGCGGGGCACGAGGCTTGCCTTTCCCGGAGGGGGCGACGGCACCGGACGAGGCGAGGGAGGCGAGGTTGGCGGCGGCGTCGAGGTCGAGGTCGATTGCGTCCTCCATGGCTGGTTGGGGGGCGGGGGCGCGCACGGGAGCCTTTTTAGGGAAAATGGTGGTGGCTGCCACCGACAGGCGGGCCCGGGGAGAGGAGTAGGCGCGCGCGCGTCCGTCTCGTGTCCGCGCCGACGCAAATCCGGCTCAAAATTGGGTCTGGAATGGGTCGCCCGTGGACGAAAAACGGACGCGCGTCCATTTGGGTTGCCCCATTGGAGTTGCTCTTACGGGTGTGTTTGATAGCAACTTCAACAGCTCCTTCGAAAAACACAGTAAAATTTAGAGAAAGTTGTCCCAGAATTATTTTTATCAGTTCCCATAACATCTCCCCCTAAATCTTCTTTTATTTTACTTTTAGTTAAACAAAAATAGATAATGGCCTAGGATCCGCTAGTCAAGTGACACGCATGACGGCCGCTGGTGAGGGGCGACGCGAGACAATGCGGGGCCGCCGACACGAGGCGGTGTGGTGGCAAGGTTCCGTCGAGGTGGATGGTAAGTTTTAGGCGGTTTCTAGCCCGCCAAAACTATACGGGAAGATGCAACAACGTATAAGTGGTAAAGTTTTAGGCGGTTTTTTCGGCCCCGTCTCAAATTCCTCCACACGATGCAACAACACTAGGTTGTCGACATTGTTGTCCAGGATAATCTCTTCTATGTCCGAACCATCGGACAAAGGCGGCGAAGATGAACTCAAATCCATCTACAAAATGCACACGAATCGCCCATAAATTTAACCCGAACCTCAACCGAGCCAAATCAAGCACAAACCCGCAGGTGTTGGACATACCTTGCCCAAAGCCGCGCCGCCCCTTTCTTCTCCCTGCCAGCCAAAGCAAAGTCGCGTCGTGCCGCCCCTTTTTTTTCCCCGCCGACCGAAGCAAAGCCGCGCCCCCACTTCCTCCGATGCGCGCGGGCGAGCCCTACTGATTCCGAGGCTCACCGGTGCCGGAACCAACCGGATCCGCCTGTTACAAGGCCACGCACCAAGCTCCGGGGCGGATCCATGGTGCCAGCGGTGGCTGTGAGTCCTCAGACACAAATGGGCTGTGGACCGGGTTGCAAGCCGATGCGCGGGGTGAGTCGGGCATCACCATCCGAGGAAACACTGACGAGCCGGTGCTGGCCGCGGCGACGGCGGCTTGGATCAGGTTGTGCTGGCTAGGGTTTACCCCAAGCATATAGAGCGCCTCCCTCGTTGCCGCGGCGACGCGGGCGTTGGTGAACTCCTGCTGCACGGCGGCGACGGCGGCCTGCGCAGCGGCCTCATCCCTCATGTTTGCGGCGTGCCTCCGGCCCTTCCTCTTGGCCGACTCCCTTGCCCGCTGTTCGGGCATCAGCGCCTTCTTCGGCTTGGTCGCCGCGGCGGTCTTGCGCGGGGCACGAGGCTTGCCTTTCCCGGAGGGGGTGACGGCGCCAGACGAGGCAAGGGAGGCGAGGCCAGCGGCGGCGTCGAGGTCGAGGTCGATGGCGTCCTCCATGGCTGGTTCGGGGGCGGGGGCGCGCGCGGGCGGGAGCGTTTTTGGGGAAAATGGTGGTGGCTGCCACCGACAGGTGGGCCCGGGGAGAGGAGTAGGCGCGCGTGCGCGTTCATCTCGTGTCCGCGCCGACGCAAATTCGGCTCAAAATTGGGCCTGGAATGGGCCGCCCGTGAACGAAAAACGGACGCGCATCCATTTGGGTCGCCCCATTAGAGTTGCTCTTATGGGTATGTTTGGTAGCAACTTCAACAGCTCCTTCGAAAAACACAATAAAATTTAGAGAAAGTTGTCCCAGAATTATTTTTATCAGTTCCCATAACATCTCCCCATAAATCTTCTTTTATTTTACTTTTAGTTAAACAAAAATAGATAATGGCCTAGGATCCGCTAGTCAAGTGACACGCATGACGGCCGCTGGCGAGGGGCGACGTGAGACAGTGTGGGGCCGCCGGCGCGAGGCGGTGTGGTGGCAAGGTTCCGTCGAGGTGGATGGTAAGTTTTAGGCGGTTTCTAGCCCGCCAAAACTATACGGGAAGATGCAACAACGTATAAGTGGTAAAGTTTTAGGCGGTTTTCTTCGGCCCCGTCTCAAATTCCTCCACGCGATGCAACAACACTAGGTTGTCGACATTGTTGTCCAGGATAATCTCTTCTATGTCCGAACCACCGGACGAAGGCAGCGAAGATGAACTCAAATCCATCTACAAAATGCACGCGAATCGTCCATAAATTTGACCCGAACCTCAACCGAGCCAAATCAAGCACAAACCCGCAGGTGTTGGACATACCTCGCCCAAAGCCGGTCGAAGCAAAGACGCGCCGCCCCTTTCTTCTCCCCGCCAACCAAAGCAAAGTCTCGTCGTGCCGCCCCTTTTTTCCCCGCCGGCCGAAGCAAAGCCGCGCCACCACTTCCTCTGATGCGCGCGGGCAAGCCCTACTGATTCCGAGGCTCACCAGGGCCGGAACCAACCGGATCCGCCTGTTACAAGGCCGCGCACCAAGCTCCGGGGCGGATCCATGGTGCCAGCGGTGGCGATGAGTCCTCGGACACAAAAGGGCACTCCCCGTGCTGAAACTTGGTGGAATGGATGCGACGGAGCTTTCGGACTGCACGGGGCAACAAGAACGGGCGGGGGATATGCGGTGGTGGTGGCAGGGAGTGGAGGTGCGAACTGAAGCGGGCGAAAATGCATTCGCGCCAAAGGAAAGGGGAGCCGACAAAATCGAACGAAACCCCATAGACATGGAGGAAATGAGTCTGCGGATTCAAGATCCCACAAAATAAATTCTAGGACGGCCGAATTTGTGGGATCTATTCGGACCGGTCAAACCCCCTCCATCTCGCAAACCGGCGGTTATTTTGCCGGATGGTCCGGTTTGTGAGATCTGCTAGAGATGCTCTAATTTGCTCCAACTTCCCGTAAACAACAATTTATTTCACAGACAGGGGAGTTGTTGGCTCCACCTCCAACACTGTTCCCCAAAATCAGCATGAGTGCTTCTACAGCCAAACCCCTTATATTGCCTCTATACGTCTGGGTGGACGGCCCAGTCGCTGACCAGTTAAGAAATCGCAAACCAGTCGCACCCCTCACACTAGCCCTATACATCCAGACTGACCGACACCCCTTAAATCCAACCCATATCTACAGTGGATATAAAGAGGCCTGGACACGTTCAAGCGCGTCCACCACGTTGGATCTAGCTCACATTGACCCAGCTTGACCTTACTAAGGAATCTATCCAGCTCAGTCCTCTTGGGGTTGCCACAGGGAACTTCGTTGAATTACGCACAGCTATCACTTCAAAAATACAGGGATAACACCACACAGTTAGTCATACTTTTCCACAATTTTTTGCAACTTCCTATATCATGGCACGAAAGGTGCCTAACTCTTAGTGCCGTTAGATGGTTTGCCAAACATCAAAAAACAATTTCCCTGTTTGCAATTGGCACCACTTGTAATACTAGGCTAATATGATTGTCATCGTGGAGCGCACTCATAGAGTGCTACTGATACAACTCAATGCGCATGTCCTGGTTCGTGTCTGACTTTGTTATCAAGTTGGTTTCGAAAATTACTGGTTTATACTCGACCAGTTGTGCTGAATTACATTAAAATTGAGAAGGCCAGCGATCCAGCTATGCTAATAACAAACTGAAGCTCATCCAATAGAAATTCAGCAAAATAAAATTTAGGAAGTCTACATCTGTTCATCACCCAACATCTATGTTTTGGTAATTTACGTAGGTACAATTCTTTGGACAGCGAGACAACCCGACAATCCTTTTTTCGCCTATGAGTAACCGGGCGAAATAATTCCAGAAATTTCCCTTTCTCAAATGTCAACACACGCATTCTGATGTAAGGAAATTCCATTGTCACATTCATCAGGTTTTGACATACATAATCAAAGGGATTCTGGGCAACTTCCCAGCAATTGGAGTCTAGTTAACCAACATAATGAAGGGGATTCTGGACAACTTCCCAGCAATTGGACTTCAGATAAACAACAGAAATCGCGTCAACAAAATCCATTTCCTTGGGGAAATAAGGCAAACATTTGAAAACAATTGGATAACAGCTGTTGTCGCTTTCAAGGGATATAGCGTTAGATTGAACGGAAGGAGCTACTGGTCGCTTGGTAGTATTTAAGTACCTGCACAGCCCGGTGGTAACATGCAGCAACGGAGTACTCCACTACTGTATCATCGAACCATCAATGCAACATGTCCTCAACTACGTATTTTGTATTTAAATTCCTTGGCCGTGCTACATCATTTGACCTTTGGAAACTACAACTGAAAATGGGGGTAGAACCATTCCCTCAGCAATAAAATATGCATGGCTCAAGGTATCGAAATTTAGCCACCGATGCCGTTACGCTGAAATTTTAGCTTGAATGCGTCAAAGAAACCAACTATATATGAACCTCGGCGGCCTCAGATTCTGGGCACAAAATACTTCGCGAACCTTGCAGCACTCTCAATGGAGAGAGCATCTCAAATCACCTTCTTCCTGTTACTTATCATCCATTTCGGCGCAGCTCAAAATGCTACCACAAGTGGAGCAGATGAGTTCCCTGTCGGAGTGATCCTTGACTTGGATTCATTGGGGGGCAAGATGACACGGACCAGCATTTTGATGGCCCTGGAAGACTTCTATGCAGTCCACAGAAACTACAGCCCGAAGCTAGTTCTCCACATCAGGGACTCCAAAAGTAACAATGTCCAAGCTGCATCAGCAGGTAAAAGTTCTGCAGTCTATCATGAAAAACTTCTTTCCTAATACTTCCGTTGCTACATAGTATATGCTTCAGAGTACAACTTTTTTTTTTACACATTCTGCAAAGTACAACTTATATAACTGACTTTCATCAATCAAGTTTTTTTTTTGACCGCAACTTTCATCAATCAAGTTAGTATAAGCTACAAAAGTGAAATATTATCAACACAGTTTCGATGGAAAAATAACATAGTTATCCTCCAACGTGCCACCACTACTAATGGACAAAGTTGGAGGAGTTTAATTGTAACATTTATCAATGGTTTTTACTTTACTTTCCATGTGCTCCATAATACTCCGTACTTCTTCTGTTTAACAATAGACATCCAACTAACAAATGCTGATGGACAGAAAAGGTTGTAAACCAAATAAATAGATACTAACAAGGCTAATTTATGACAATCATATTAAATGAAGTACTTTAAGCGTATATCTCTCGGTAAAGTTCAGAAACATATAAAAGGACAATGTCCGGCTACTAAATTCTTACTAACGGCATCTCCAATCAGACCCTCAAAACGCCCGCAAACGTCCGGGCCGAGCTGCCCGGACACCGCAAGCCATCCAATTCGGGCGTAAATCCGCTTGTCCGAAATCCTGCAAACCGGACGCAAACAGGAGGAGGTTTGCGGGCGTTCGGACCGTCATCATGTACGCGTCTAGCACCCCGGTCCCAACCAAAAACATCTCCCGCGCGACCGCACCTCCGCTCCCCGCACCGCATTCATGCCGATCCAGAGCGAACGCCACCGGTCACTGGAGCCACCATTAAAGCGGCATCCTGTCCATGCCGCGTCGCGAACTTCACACCTATTCAATGTCGGAGAGACATGACTGGACGAAACGGGACGACTAACTACTGCATTCAAAACTAGTGCCCGTTCGCCTGCTTGTCGGCATTAAACATGCACGGCGTCTGAGAAACCCACTCCGGCGCCCGCATTGAACCGCCCACCGCTTGTCCTGGCCCATGACCGCTATTTATGCGTGGCCACGCTTGGCACGATTCGCACCGCAACACGCCTGCTTCTGTTCCTCCTCCGTGCGCCACCTCCGCTATGACCAGGAGCTCTAGAGTGATGTGGGAGAGCCTCTTGACGGAGCAGAAGCACGAGTTGGCCGGCGTTGCAGTGGGATGGCAGGCCCGTCATGCGCGACGGATAGAGGCCGGCTTGCTGGCGAGCTCACCGGAGGTGAGCGAGGACGACACAGCGATGGAGGAGGCGTCCGATGACGAGCGAACACCCCCACCGGCATTGGTGCATGCTTACTTTACCATGGAGCAGACGCAGGTGCAAGGAAAGGAAACATAGTCTAACAAGGACTCCTAGACCAATACTAATACTCCCTAACACCCTCCTCAAATGCAAAGCGTATGCAATAGCATTGCATTTGAAGAAGTTTAGTAGTAAAAGAAAAAAATGATAATCCAATTCTGCGTCTTGAGAGTGTTGCCATAGCATGAAGAGCCTTCAAAACTTGTCGAGTCAAGCCAAAGGGGAGAATGAAGAGATGACACATCAGAGAAAGACACCACATCAGTAGAAGATACAGAAGATGGATGTCAAAGGAAGATGGCACATCAAGAGAATAAAGCATTGCGCAGAAAATCATAGCCCATGACAACTAATGACAAAAGAAACTCGCTAACTAAGGACAATGGGCGTAGATCGACACACATCCTTCATGGGACCCACCCACCGCCCCGTCCACCTTATCCTTATCTCTCGGCCGAGTCATCTTATTCCTTTGATTTCTCCTTCCCCATTCCCATCCACCTCATGAATGAGAGACACCCAAACAGGACGATGCTGCAAGCCCCACCCAAACTGTTGTTGCAAGCCGTGCTGAGGCTGCAAGGCAAGGCGCCAGCCATCGCTCCCAGCCACTGGCGTGCGAGATCGGGGCTCGGCTGCTGCCCAACCAGCACACCGGCGTGCGAGATCAGGGCTCAACGGCGCCCTAAGAAGTTTAGTAGTAAAAGAAAAAAATGATAATCCAATTATGCGTCTTGAGAGTGTTGCCATAGTATGAAGAGTCTTCAAAACTTGTCGAGTCAAGCCAAGGGGGATAATGAAGAGATGACTCGTCAGAGAAAGACACCACATCAGTAGAAGATACAGAAGATGGATGTCAAAGGAAGATGGCACATCAAGAGAATAAAGCATTGCGCAGAAAATCATAGCCCATGACAACTAATGACAAAAGAAACTCGCTAACTAAGGACAATGGGCGTAGATCGACACACATCCTTCGTGGGACCCACCCACCGCCCTGTCCACCTTATCCTTATCTCTCGGCCGAGTCAACTTCTTCCTTCGATTTCTCCTTCCCCATTCCCATCCACCTCCATGGATGAGAGACACCCAAACATGACGATGCTGCAAGCCCCACCCAAACCGTTGTTGCAAGCCGTGGTGAGGCTGCAAGGCAAGGCGCCAGCCATCGCTCCAAGCCACTGGCGTGCGAGATCGGGGCTCGGCTGCTGCCCAACCAGCACACCGGCGTGCGAGATGGGCTTGGC